TTATTAATTGATTTTTGATTTTTATATTCAATAAATATAAATTTTAAAGAAATTTTAAAGAAATTTTAAAAAATTTATTGAATATAGCATACAAAAATATATTAATAAAAAGTTATTCAATTTGGATAAAACTTTTAAAATATATATATTTTGATCTTCTGAATAACTTTTATTTAATAAGCTATATCAATTTACATAGTAAAATTTTAACTTTACTATAGAGTAACTACTAATAATTATATAAGTAGCTTATTTTCAAGCAAAAGTTTTTATATTTTTCTTTCAAAAAAGAAAAGTAACTTATTTTTGAAATAGCTTATTTTTAGAAATATATAATATAAAGCTTATAGAAAAATTTCATATATTTTTATTGATTCTGTTTTTTTTAAAAAAAATTTTGCAAAAAGTGAACAACTTAGCTTACTCTTTTAAAAGATCAATATTGTAAAAAAATATTTATTTCTATTATAGTTTTTTGCTATTTTTATTATAATATATTAAAATATTTTATTTTTAGTTAACTAATCAAATTTAAAAAAATTATTTTTTTTAAAATTAAAGAAGTTTTTATTAAGTTAAGGTTTGTTAAGCTTCTAAATAAAGTTGTAAAAAAGATTTTTTTGATTTTAATAGTAATTAGATTATTAAATTGGTTTTGTAGATTTTAAGATAATTGAAGTTAAAGATGTAAATATAAAAAAATTAATTTTTTTAAAATTAAAGAAGTTTTTAAAATTGGTCTGGTAGATTCCAAGATATTTGAAATTAAAGGCATAAATATAAAGATCTATAAATTAGTAATTATATAAAATATTATAGTCTATAGTACTTTGTATAACTATCAATTTATAGATCTTTATGTTTGCATCTTTAATTCTAAAATTTTAGAATCTACCAAGCTGATTTTGATGGTTACGGTATGATTTCCCAAAAGTTATTTACTTGAAAGGCCACTTACCCTATATCACAAGGGTAACAAATTGCTAAAAATATATACCTGCAGCTAATCAAAGGCTAACTCTAACCCTATGTGATATCAGATAAGTGGTCTACCAGGTAAATAGCTTTCAGAGAATTGAGCAACAACTGATTTTGATAATCTAACCACTATTAAAACCAGAAAAATTTTCTTTATTTAAAAGTTCAAGAGAAGTTAACATATTAAAATTTTTTTTAATTTTAAAAAATTAATTTTTATATTTATTTATTATAATTTTTATATATTTTATAGATAATTTCTATTTGTATACAGGGTGTTTGTATATAGGTATATAGAAACCAATCAGATTGCACAATCAAATGTAATATAAAATTATTGCTTTCTCTAAAATATTACTTATATCTCAAAATTTTACTTATGAAACTACCTTTTAGATTCTAACAAAAAAATTCTTTATAAATTTTAATATAGGCTATAACCTGTCTTAATTCTAAATACATCCTTATTCTAACCCAGAATAGAACTTAATTTTTTATTTTATAAAAGTTGTTTTAATTTACATATTCATATACAGTACTATATACTATATATACCCTTAGTAATTTTCTATTTTATATTAAAACTAAAAATAGTAATTTTTGTATACTATAGTAGAAATAGCAAAATACTATATTGTAATAGTAATTCTCTAAATAAATAAATATATAATATTTGAGATTATAAAAAAAAATACGTAATACAGTATGTATTTTTTATTATTTGACAAAAAATAATTAATATTTAATTATAAATTTTATAAAAATAAACCTTTTTTTAGTAAGTATAAGTTGTTTAATATACTTTATATTACAAGTATGCTGCTCTATTTAGATAAAATATAAAATTAAACCTTTATATAGATAAATACAGTAGTATAAAATATTTGAGGTTATAATAATATCTTTAATACTTATTGTTATCTTATTTTTTTTAAAGAAAATATAACTTATTATAGAAGAAATAATATGTACTTTCTGTTAATCACCAAAAATGCAAACTGATATTTAAGGTTCTACCAAAAATCCTAATATCCAAATCTCAACAGGTCATAATACTGACATTATGCAATATGACAATTAAAAATTTAACATCTGACAATGATTGTTAATGTGATTACTAATCTTTAAATATTAATCATCATGTCAGGATTTTGGTTTTTGAGATTTTGGATGTCAGGATTTGTTGGTAAAACCGATATTTGATTATAGAGAATTTATAAAGATAAGCATTTTCTTACTGAGTATGTGTTGTTTAACATATCTTATTCATAAATACACTGTTCTATTAGGATGAAGTATGGAATTAAACCCCCCACATAGATGAAACAGTGTAAAACATTTGAAGGCTGTAATAATGACATCTTTAATATTCATCTTTTTTTAATCTAGCTTATTTTAAATAATGTTATATCCTTTGTTAACCATGAATTTGCGATATTAATATAAAAATTGGGAATAATAGTTTAATAGGAAGTTACGTAATCAATTAAGATTTTATTAAAAGAGTCACCTATATTGCAAAAAAAAATTCTACTTTTATATCCAATATCTTATATACGAAACCCACAGGCTGTTGATCTCTATCCAAGTTATCACCATTACTCAAAGGAACTTTGATAGGTAATGCGCATATGATTAGATTAATTTTTTAATCATATGTTTTCGCTTATACGGAATCTACAAGTTTAATCAATTGACAAGACGAACGATACTTTGAAATAGATTTCGTAAAATAATTGGGTAGTATTTTTATATTAGAAAGTTCGTCTCACAGTTTCACATTTGAGTCTTTAACACGTATCTAGCATTTCTGGTTTAAGCACGATACGTCACGCAAAATACTTTTAATTTTGTGAAGCGATATGAAAACCAATTGTAATTTTGTGCGGCCTAAATACAAAAAAAAAAATATAAAGTAGTGATTATTATTAAAATTTTCACTTTCAACAAATTTCAATTTCATACGTATTATTTAATAAACTTTCACATTTAGCATTCAATAGCAAAATTCAATATTGAATTGTCCTTTGGAATTTTTGCCTTTAGCGGATTTAAGATACCGTAAATTTTCGAAATAGCGTTATTTCGAAAATCACGCCCCCTAAAAATAACGTAGATGATTTCGAAATAACGCCCATGCGCGTTTCAAAATAACGCGCACCTCATTATATATTAGATAAATAAGTTTACATCCACCATCTAGTATTAATGAATAATTTTAATGATGATAGAGATGTGGATTGTTTAAGAAGAACTTACTGGTAGTTCGACATATATGTAGATAAACCATTATTTTAGAAAAAACCAAGTTCAAAAAATCAACCTATATTCCCATGGGCGTGCTCGAAATAATGCGCAGACATTCAAAATAGCGCGCAGTTTTGAGAATTTGCGGTACTATATTAGGATGTTAGAGAAATTTTTACATCGTGTAACATTTTATCATATTCATGCCTAGCCAATCAGATAATCACTAAAATCACGGGCTAAAATTAGGGGCATGAAATTATCACTAATGATCTTGTGACCTTGCGATCTTTTTTCTTTTTAAAAAAGGATTCGCAAAGGTCGCAAAATAAAAGATGCAAAGTTGCGACTTTGCAGCAAGCAACATTAATGCCGAGCAATTTGACATTGTCACGTGCTATCAACAATTTCTGAAAGATGATCCGGTATGTTTTCACATCTATTGTGAAAATAAACTTGTAATTTATACAATACTTATTTGCATTGAAAGTAGGAAGTATCCATGCCAATTGCGGCGATAGAGTCACTTGTCGAGTTAATAAAACATAGCAAAGGTATGAATTATTATTGATGTTCGTTTATTACGATAGACAAAATTTTGAAATTTTTTATTTATTTCATCTTTTGATTCTACGTAAGCTACCACGCTGACGGAATTCATGGAATCTTTGAAAGATGCTAGTCAAAAACTTAAATCATCCGTAAAAAATTCAATTTCATTATCAGCTGGTGCTGATTTGTTTTTAAGGTTCGTAACAGCACTATTAACATATATAGTAAAATGCCATAGGAGTACATTCATGTTATTGGCTAAATTATGTCGATCTATACATGACTGGTAACCAATCAAATCGAAGCAATTCATTAGAAATTAGTGATTGGACATCGATCGGCAAAAAGCGAGTTTATTTTAATATACAGCTTTGTGATCTATTTTTGACTTGCGAGTTAAAAATTACATGTTTCAAAGGGGTCTCAATCATTTATTTGCCCAATATTTATTTGCCCAACAACTATTTGCTCGAACAGTCACTTGCCCAACATTTTTAAAATGTCAAAAAAGTGATTGTTAGTAAAATAAAAATGTTGGGCAAATAAATATCGGGCAAATTATTGGGACCTGTTTCAAATCAAGTTATCTGAGAGTTTGACGAAGAAAAAATGGATCTATTACATATCACATATTATATACTATAGTAAAAATTCTATTTTTTTGTTTATTGCTGTTACTAGGGACGTATTGCTCTTAGGTTATCTTATTAAACATTTATATTTATTTGTTACTTGCATTTAATCTAGAGTTGTTAATGAAGTAGCATATTCCAGTGTTATTTCAAATTAACCCAACTTAGGTTGGAGAATTAACCGGTTAACTCATTAAAACTATTACTTAAATCTTGTTCGTGAACATCTGTATGATAAGTTCTGTAAGCAGATTAAAAAAATAAATTTGATTTTTTCAGTTTCAGAATAGAAATGATAATTTTTTGCTAAACACAAAAACATTGTAGAATACGTAAAAATTATTTACAGGAATTAGATTTTATCACAAAAATTTGATTCAAGATTTTAAATCAGTTTTTTCAGATATTTTTAGAAGAATAGAAAATTAATTAATACAAAATACGAGCATAGTTGTTAAAAATTTTTTTAGCATATTTACCGGTAGTAATTAAACAAATTTTTGTACAGAGATAGAAATTTTAATACAGGTGATCCTCGTTAATACGTATCAACTCGTTTTGATTAGACAATTATTGTTGATATATATGAGGGTTGATAACAAAGAGGTAAAATTGATATAGTCTAAACTCAACTTTTTACAAGTTTAGGTTGATATTAACAAGGGGTTGATATTAACGAAGCTGATATTAACGAAGTTGATATTAACGAGAGTACAAAATTTTAAGTTTGTAAATTTAAATTTAATCATTGCAGAATGAGTTTAATCACTACAAAAAATTTATTGTTTCTGCTTCAGAATAGAATTTTTTTAATAAGCTTTAGAGAATATAGATACGCATTAAAAGTTTAATTTTAAAATGTAGAAACATGTAATAACTCAAGCCAGTTAATGTAAATTAATGAATTTGGAAATAATTTTATCAATAGATTGTTCATTAGATATGAGTGCGGCTAAGGGAAAACCTCGTTCTTGTTTTTTTTTTGCTAAACTCAGTCATGATTCAAACATATGTATCACATATGTTTCGGATCACAGCTAAGTTTTAACAGTTTTAACAACAAAACAAGAACGAAGTTTTCATACAGTTTGTAAATAGATATTGAAAATAAAACCATATCATTTATTTTTAGTAATTATAAATCACACCGGTGGTGTTCAACATTTTAAAAATTAGAATTAAAAATTAGAATTAAAAATAATTAAAAATAAAGGTTTTTTTTAGATGCTGTTTATAGTTTTTAAACACTACTGGTGTGATTTAACAATATCATTTATTTTAATATTGTAAAGGGAGGTTTCAAAATTAACAAATAAATGACGCATTTCGAAAATAAGATTTTTTGGATAGCATTTTTACTATGTTGAATTATAAATCAGAAAAATAAAATAAAATTCTTTGATTTTAATTTTGAAACCCCCAATGTATTTAATAAACTATTATTACTTAGCATACCGTATTTGCTCGTAATAACACCCCTCCGCGCGTTATTTTGAACCCCCACGCGATATTTTGAAGCGCGCATGCGCTTTATTTCGAGTAAAAATAAGATTTTTTTCAAAATTTTATACAGTCAACCCTCCGTAAATGCACATCCCTTGGGACTATAAGAAAATTTTTTAAAAATGTGCATTTAGAGATGGTGTACATTTATGGAGGCATTTTATTAAGTGCACTATATGTTTGGCTGAAGAGGGTTGACTGTATTTGAATAAACCAGATGGATGATGTTATAATAACTAAACTAAAACATATCGGCCGATTTGTTTTGACCCCAAAATCAGCCAATCATGATCGAGGATTATCAAAAAATTTTCCACGAAAATTTATTGCA